ACTTCCCCTTTGATCGGCCTGTTTTAGACTTGGGTTCCCTCTATCCATTTATCGGGGGTGGGGGGCCTTATAAATCACTTGTACTTGGCACCTACAAGAACAGAGCATCATCATAGTCAAAGTCACCAAGTACTGGTTTCTTACTAGATGCTCAGTAACTTGTGCACACTCTCCTATTTGCTCTTTACAACAACCCGAAGAGAAAGGGGGATGGTATTGCTCCGTCTGACAGAGGGCACCAGAGGGCAAGGAACGCGTCTATACCGCACAGTTAGTGATGAGAAATGTGGGATTACACACCAAGTCCCTCCTTTCAAAGGCTCGCTCTTGCCCACGGGACTGCTGAATCAGGGTGAGCAGGACAGGGAGAGGGGTCACCCCATTTTGGAGCTGCCACCCCAGCTCCACACTCTCCTGCTCCCAGGCCTTTCTCTCCCCTCCATCAAGATGCCATATGACTCTGCATCTCCAAGGTCAGCCCCATGGCATTCCTTCTGTGTCGCTGGGCAGACCGCCTGTTGGACACAGCCATTTCCCAGCTCACACCACCAACCCCTGCAGGACCCCGCAGCAGCCTCTCCCAGTGATGGCCGAGGCCATGCTAAATATATCTGAGCACTCACCCTGGTGAAAGGCTGAAGGCTGGAGGTGGGGTGGGAGGTGCTGGCCTCACTGTGTAGATGAGGAGAGAGCTTTACTGACTCAGTGAATGGCTTAGCTGCGTCCTGAAGCATTGGTCTTTCAGAATCTAATCCAGGGTATGGTCTCATGAAACATACCAAGTGTGTCTGATGATAAGTTCCATGCAAATGTAAGGTCCTTGTAGCTTGTGAGGAGTTACATGGGACTGCCTTGCTATGGCGAGGGTTTGTACCTGCCTCCCCCGTGGCCCCATAGATGAGCAGCCAAGAGCTCTGTGTCCCCTGCTCCTTGGCCCCTTGCCTGGACTCCTCGTCTTTACCTGTGAAAGTGTCAGTGACATCTGACGCATGCTCCCTGGAGCAGGTGGTGTCCGTCCCCCCCCCCCCACTCCCCATGAGAGAGCAGCTGCAGGTGGAGGGGGGTTCCTGCAACAAGGCAGGCAGCCCCCCTGTAGAAGCAGAAGTTCACGTTCAGGCATTATTTCTTGGTGACTGGCATTTTGCCACTGACACCTGGCAGGTCTCACCCTGCCCATACCCTGTGCCCTAGCCGACTCCTCCTGGTAAACCAGGCGATCAGGCAGCCTGGCACCTAAGGCTGCTGAGGTTGGAAGGTGCCATTGGGAGTAGAAGGCGTGCCCATCAGCCCTCTCCGGCCTTCCCCCGACCCCCCACCCATGGGAAATGTCTTTCTAGGGGAAAGAGAATCCAAAGGAAGAGAAAACAGGGTGAGACCTACCATTCCTTGAACCGTGGGAGACAGCTGCATGCCTGCCATCTCCGCCCATGCGGCTGAGTGGTATTAGCTCCCTCCCCCAGTGGAGAATTAAGCTTCTTGCTCTGCATCCTGGGAAATTCTGAAGCCACAGAGCATGATTTGATGCTCCCTTGCCGCTCACTCTAAATATGAGGGTTGTACCTGGTTCTTTCCGGGCTTTTGGGGGGCCTCCAGGAGTGATTCAGGATCCCCTGTGGAAGGTGCTTATGTATTGGTGGCAGGTCCTTGGACCAAGATGGCTTGAAAGCTACTGAGTCCTGGAAAGAGACTGACCCCTCCCCCCCCAGGTGCCTCATCGAAGGGAGATGAGGTTTATTAACAGGGACCCTAGACATGGAGAGGTCCCTGGGGATCCTGCAGAAGGGGTGTCAGGCATCTCTCCCATCCCAGCGTGGGAGGAGAGGTGAGAGGAAGCACGCACAGCCCTCAGGCCCACTGCGCAGGCTCCTGCAGAGACACGGGGCTGGGAGCACATACTTCCTCCCTGAGTGAGTCTGTCCGCCCTTAGTACTGGAAACTTCAGCCCTTGCCTTGGTCCTGCAGGCCTGGACCGTGCACTGTAGTTCCCGTTACTCCTCGACCAGAGGAAAGGGAATGAACCGCCTTTTAATCGTGAACTTAGACACAGCAGAGGCTCCTACCCTTCCAGCAACTCGCTCTCTCCCTGTGATGCGTTTCCTGCCCACATGCCTCTGCGCGCCAGCATCAACTCCAGCCCCTCTCTCTGTTCGCCTGTGAGCCGCCGCGAAGCAGAGAAGTTTTCACCCAACAAGTAGAAGAGTCACTTTAGCTAGGAGACCAACGAAACTGAAACAAGGTCCTGACACAGTGAAGGCTGAGACCCTGACGAGAGACGACCTGTGTGTCCCAAGGAAGGACAGTTGTTGACACTAATATCTGTATGTTTCTGTCCCTGCAGCCTTAGGAAAATCCAAAGGTACAGTATCCTGGGTAGCTGCAGGCCATGTTCAGTCTGAACGCTGAGCGCGCTGCGCCTCGGCGAGCTCTGCGAGGGGATGTGTGTGTGGTTGCTTGGCCGACGGACTTGAGGTGACTGTTCCCATCGTTGAAGTGGGACCTGAGCCGAGGGAGGCCACCGGCACCATCAGCCCGTCCTGCAGGGTAGGCAGGCGGGCGTGGCCTGCGGACGCACAGCTTGGCCGGTGCCCGGCCAGCACCGGGCCCTGCTGACTCTGTGCTCTGGACGGCAAGTGACAGAAAGGATGGCTGTTTAGATGTCTCCTGAGGCCGGTGCCTGGTTCTGGTCTCATGCTGCCCTTGTCCCTGTCCTGCTCCCCTGCGTCTCCCACCTGGGAGGAGCGAATGCCCCCAGAGAGGCCGCATTCGCACTGACAACAGCTGCTTTGGCAGAGGGTGAAGTGCAGCTGCCAGCTGGGGCGAGGCCGGCCGGCGGGCGGGGGGCTCCAGGAGTGGCCTGGCCATCAGGGGAGCCCTGCCTGTCTCCTCGCTCCCCTGGGCCCAGGAGGGTGCTAAGGCTGCGCTGCTGTTCTAACACCCACCTGCTTGAATGTGTCCGCTTCGTGGGGGAGGGGTGCCATCTGTCACGCACGGGTAAGCACGTGTCTTTGTGTCCCTCACCAGCATGGGCGTGAGGGTGATGGACACGTCCTGGGTGGCGCGAAGAGGCTCGTCGTCGGCAGGCCGGAAAGGGTCGTGCGCCCCACCCTCCACGCAGCCCCCCGCCCCTCCCGAGGAGCTGGCAGCGCCTCTGCCCTCACCCCTTCTGGAGCAGCCCCCAGAGGACCCCGTGGTGCCCTCGCTTTCTCCATCCGGCCTGGGCCTCCAGCCCTGGGGCCGAGCGGACCAGGTAAGCGCGGGCAGGTTCACTGCACCCACCTCCGGCCTTGTGGACGTCCTCACCCCCATTTCTGAGCATTCCTGCTGGCTTCCTACATCGAGCTGGCGCCCAGTAAGCCACTCCAGCTCCCTGGGTTATCAGATGAAGGCCAGGCTTTCCAAGAAGTGCCTCCCAAGCCAACAGCAAATGTGTCAGGTGGCAGCTTGCAAAGGGGTGAGAGGAAGCTCAGTGCCCAGCTCTCCATTTCCTGTTTCCTCTCCTCCACCTTTACATTTGGAGGGGCCATTTTTACTGCTAAAGTGGGTGCCAATCAGGGAAGAATGGAGTTCATATGGTCACACTGGCCTGGGGACCTGCAGGAGGTCATGGGGTCACGCTGGCCTGGTGACCTCTGCAGGAGGTCATGGGTCACACTGGCCTGGGGACCTCTGCAGGAGGTCATAGGTCATGCTGGCCTGGGGACCTCTGCAGGAGGTCATGGGTCATGCCGGCCTGGGGACCTCTGCAGGAGGTCATGGGTCATGCCGGCCTGGGGACCTCTGTAGGAGGTCATGGGTCATGCCGGCCTGGGGACCTCTGTAGGAGGTCATGGGTCATGCTGGCCTGGGGACCTCTGCAGGAGGTCATGGGGTCACGCCAGCCTGGGGACCTCTGCAGGAGGCTGCATGGCTGTTTTCCATTCTCCTGGGGGAAGAAAAAAGAGAACCAGATCATTGTATCACTAGTTGAGTGAACATTTGCAAGACCGTGTCCATCCAGAGGAAAGATGCCATCTGTCCCTTGAAGGCGCCTGCCTTCCAGCGAGCAAATATCACAAATGGTTAAGGCTCATGGTCTTGCCGGGGTCTCAGCAGGAGGTGGCTGTGCCTGGCCCTTCCTTGGAAGGGGTGTGGTCAGAGGGGTTTCTAGAAGTGGGATCTGCACAGCCAACTACTTTGTCCTTTGTTTCTACCTGTTCTCAAACAGCAATCCAGAGACCTAGGAAAGCTATGTGAAATCAGAGGCCCCTGTGCAGTCAGCTTTCCCTCACGGCCACTGCTGGGAAAGGCTGGAGACTGAGAAGTGAACCTTTTAGCCCAGTCTTTCCTCAGGTGCGCATGCACCCCCACACACTCACGCGCACACACACACATGTATGCATGCGTGCACACAAGCACGTGCACATGTGCACATGTCCACACATGTGGGCATACACACATGTATGCATGCATATACAAGCACATGCCCACACATTCGTGCACACACATGCACACAGACACACACACATGCATACACACCTCAAATGAAGGATTGCAGACTTTGTTTTTTCCCTTTAATGAATAGAAGGTATTTTCCTGTGAAATGGGAAATTGATGAAGGGATAGAGGACAGTCACGGAGTTGGAGAGGGTAACTGATGCTGGAGTTGGGTTGTTGCTGATGGGTCCAACTCAGAGGACAGGCGGCCCTGGCTGGGTGCTCACTATCCTCAGGTCCCTGGAGGGATGGGCTGGGAGCGAGCTCAGTGGGGAAGCAGAGGGGGTGCGGTGGGCCCTAGAGGCTGCCGAGAGGAAGTGGACAAATAGGAGACTTGCTGCAGAGGCTCCCTTTGCAGACACTCACTGGCCCCACCCTGATTTCCCATCTCTGTTTGGTGCCAACAGCATTTGGCATTAAATGATATTTCTAGAAAATGCCCCTCAAAGATAGATTCCCCGGCTCTGAGGTGTTCCCGAATGTTGTGGATGGGTGGCCTTGTGCGGTCACTCAAGGGCAGGGAACAGCGCCCACTGGTTCAGAGTATTCGCAGGGTCAGTCCCTGCTGCTCGTCCCCTTTCCCGAGTGACCAGTCCTGTGGCTTCCCTTTGGGTGCCAGTGTCCACACTGTCTCGTCCACTCTCTCGCTCTCCCTGCGCGGATTCCTCCCAGTGGGAACCCGTGTTCCATTGCTTTTCTGTTTCTTTGTCCTGTTCCCTGGACATTTGCAGCCAGATGATGTTTCCTGCAGTTGCTGATTGCTGTCAGGGCTCCCTCCCCTGAGGATGGCAGGCCCTCCCTCCCTGTGGCTGCTTCCAACCCTCCCCTTCCCGCCAGGTCCGCCCCTCCTCCCCTCTGCCCTCAAGGCAGGTGGCTCTCCAGGCAGGCTCAGCCTCTGCACCTGTTCCTCTGCTTGGCATTAACTCCAACCCCAAACTCTTCCCTGCCCTTCGCATCCCAGCTCACTAAGCGATGCGTCCCCAAAACAACCTGCCCTCCAGCGGGCTGTACCTGTGCCTCCTCCCTCCAGCGCGCCTGCTAACCGCTCACCCCCACCTCTCCCCTGGGTCAGCTGCACCTGTGCTGCAGAGAGAGCATCTGGGCAGCAGCGTAGGTAAACGCCTGGTTCTGCGGGAGGGGGCGCAGTGCAAGTGGGAGGAAGGAGCAGGGGAGCTCCCTGGTCCCCAGATTCTTGTCTATCTAGAGGGGAAAGAAGAGCCTGTTACCTGACAAGAAGCAATTATTTTGTTTGCTTGTTGGGTGTTTTGTTGTTTATTGTTTTACTTTACCTTCCTCTTGATGGAGGCAGAGATGGGCGGAAGGGTGGAGAGATCATTGGCATTAAGGTGATCATTGCCTGGTCACCTCAGGCCTGAAGAATAAAGAATGAGGCGAGCCTGGCTGGCATGGCTCAGTGGCTGGCGTCAACCTATGAACCAGGAGGTCAGGGTTCTATTCTCGGTCAGGGCACATGCCTGGGTTTTGGGCTCAATCCCCAGTGTGGGGTGTGCAGGAGGCAGCTGATCAATCACTCTCTCTCATCACTAATGTTTCTATCTCTCTCTCCATCTCCCTTTCTCTGTGAAATCAATAAAAAATATATATTTTTTAAATTTTTTAAAAAAGAGTAAGTTGAGGGTTTCAGGTTGTGGTTGCTTCTATTGTTCATCCACAGAATAGAGAAAGGAGCTAGTGCCGTCTGGCCCTCTGGTGAGACGGTCTTCCCCTTGCAGATCACTGTAAATATTTCTTTTCTTCGTCCAGTGCAGCTAGAGAGCAGTTCGGTTCCTGAATAGGGGCTGCTGGGAATTGAGAAAATGAAAGAAAGACAGACACAGAGATGGAAGGAAAAAGCTGGGGCTGGGTGGGACCACTGTCCTCTGATGGAGAGACAGGGACTCAGAGCCAATACAGCGCATTCATTTTATACAGCAAAAACCAGGGAGTTTTACTAAAGGTCAAGACAAAGGAGATTATGTGCATTCTTGGGTGGGCCTGAGTCATATTCATTTCCTGGTGCTTGGCTGGATTTAGATAACAAAACCCACCCCCTGGTGCCTGGGCTGAAGGTCAAGCTGACAACACTCCTGCCTCTGGCAAGGCATGTTTCCAGGATGTGGCTCTGCCAACGCCACTGGATTCAGCTGACAATAATTAAAGAAATGCCCATGTGCCTTCCCAGGCGCTCTCTACAGATCACCAGCTGTGGGGTGACACTCATCCTTAACAGGGGCCACCTACTACCACCTGTGGCCTTCCCTTCGCTCCCCCCACCCCCGTGGGGAAGACCTGCTCCAGGGCCCTCCCAGCCTTTTCACCAAACCCCGGTGGGACGAGCTGTATATTCCTGGCTCTGTCATTTAGAGTTTCTAACAAATTTAGGAAGAAATGGCTGTTGCTACTTGTGGGGAAGAAATAACCATTGGGCAGGATTTAGGTTTCCACACTTCCCGTGTCCTGTGTGAGGGCATCAGAGTCCAGGTGGGTTCTCACTAGGATGAAGTTAGCTCCCAACTCCAGGTCACCTCCTGGTTCTCTTGGGGCTGCCTGCAGCATTCTGCTGAAACACGTTAAAACCCTGGCCTGTTTGGTTCAGGGGGTAGAGTATTGGCCCTAGGACTGAAGGGTCCTGGGTTCAGTTCCAGTCAAGGGCATATACCTTAGTTGCAGGCTTGATCCTTGGCCCCGGTCAGTGCAGGTGTGGGAGGGAGGCGACCAATTGATGTCTCTCTCTCACATTGATGTTTCCCTCTCTCGCCCTCTTTTCCACTCTCTCTAAAAATCAATGGAAAAAATATCTTTGGGTGAGGATTAACAAAAAAAGAAAGAAAAAAACACATGAGAATGGAGATAGATTGGTAATGTCTGCCATGGATGGCATGTTGGGGGATGGTAGGGAGCGAGGAGTCAGTATTGATTAGCTGGCCCTGGTCTGGGGGTGGACTATGAGTAGGGTGCACTTTATCCTTAGGAGGCAGCCTGAGGAAGAGCCAGCAGTGAAGGGTGGGCCCTCCTTGGGACCTGGAGGTTCAGGGTGTCCCTTGATCAATTGAAGGGGCTCCAGAGGCCCCCGGTGCCATTGGCCCTGGTCCCCTCCAAGCATGGGGGGCTGGGACTGAACTTCCCACATTTGGGAGCACAGCCAGCTTCTGTTCCAACCTTACCATTGCTGGGATCTCCTGAGTTTGAGGATGGGTCCCCAAAGTCCTCCCCTGCTTGGGGACTTTATGGGGGCTCAGGGAAAGCAGCTGGACAGAGGGGAACCATGGCCACGCGGTCATCAGACCTCACTCGGCACACAGGCTCTGCTGTGCTGTGGATTCAGGGGACAAGAGCACTTGGGTGTCCCAGTTCCCGAATGTCCAGGTCCCAGTGTGGCTCACAGGACAGAGGGGCGGGTGCTGGGGCCTGCTGCCCGTCGCTCATAGTCTCTGGTGATGAGGGAGCTGGCAGCCAGTGCCAGGCAGAGGAGGAAGTAGGGCCCAGCCATCAGAGCCCCAGGAGGGCCAGGCACCGCCAGGGTCGTCTGGGAGGCTGAGGAAGGGCCTGAGACACCCAGAGCCAGGCAGACCGCGCTGGTGAGACAGGCACGTTCTGCATCCACGGGGAGGTGCTGAGTGGCCTCTTGTGTGTTTGTGTTTCAGCGCTTCTAGAAGCAAGGAGCTTTCTCCAGGATCTGGGCAGAAGGGAAGTCCGGGTTCCAGCCAGGGGGCACCCTGTGCCGGAACGCCAGCAGGCACCAGCCCCGGCCCGCAGCCGGCTGACCAGAGCCCTCACACTCTCCGGAAAGGTACGTCCCGCCTGGGGCTGATGGCTGCCCGCTGCCTGGAAACTCACTTCCCCACCAGCCTGGGTGCTCAGACACCCTGTGGCCTAGCGAACCGGTCCCCATCTGTGCATTAGCGGTTAGAGGTCGACCAGCTCTCAAAGGGACATTTCATCACCTTTCCTCAGTTTCCTCGTTTGAGCAGTGGGCTCGTCAGGCGGGTTGAAGGTCTGGCTTTCTGTACACCAGGACCTCTGCCCGGGGTGATGCGTGCCTTCCAGGCCCCGCCAGGCCCCCGCAGCCATCTGTTGTGCGGGGCCTCCTGCCCCAAACCGGGCCTTACCCAGCTGCCTGCCCCTGGGTTGTTTGTGGGATGTGACCAAGAGGGGAACCACTGGCTTGTCCCGGAGTCCTGCCCTTCATATTTATGTCTTAGAGCTCTGGGAATTCCTGTGCTAAGCCCTCGCCGCCCACCCCAGAATCTGCCATGAAAGGCACTGTAAAGGCCATTCCCTCTGAAATGAACCCCAAGCTGACGACCTGCTCCTGGTGACGGTTGACCAACAGGGGCTGCGGGGAGGGGAGCGTACCCAGCCTTTCTGTTCGCTTTCATCTATGCTGTCACTTTTCAGGCTTCACATTGTCTAAAGGAGCCTTTGTTGGCTCCTTTGTTGGAGCCTTTGTTGGCTTTGTCCTCGTTCTGGCCTCTCCAGCGCCTCAGAGGGGCTGCAGCTCCAGGGCTGGGGGCCCAGGGCTGGTCACCTTGTCCATGCACACCTTTAGGGCCGGTAGCTTTCCCCCTGCCCGGCGCCAGGCCACAGCGGCACCCATGACCCTAGTCTGCCCTCAGCAGCCTTCCTTCTGTCCCTTCCCATCATGCCTCATGCACTCCACAGATAGTTGTTGGGCCCTACTGTGTGCCGAGCTCAGAGGGTGTAACCGTAGCAGGTGCACAGTAGGGGTGTAACAGCAGCAGGCGCAGCTCTCAGGAAGGTGAGCGTGGAGCGGTACCGCAGGTGGTAGTGTGGGCACTGCTCACATGGACCCTTCCACACACAGGCGCTGGGCCGCAGCGGTGGGCTGGGGTTTCAGCATCCAGGGTTCCTCCGGCACCCATAGGGTTCCCTGTGGTCTAGAAACAGTTCTTTGGTGGTTTGTGTGCAAGGCCTAACCCTCCCCAGCCCTACACTGGGGTGATGGCTAAGCCATCACTTTGTCCACAGGAGTCAGGGCTCCTCATGCCAGCGGCAGGCTGGGCTTCCCTCCTCACAGCAACAGGGCCTCTGGGGGACTCAGGTCCCTTCCCAAGGGCGTTTGGTAGCTCGGTCACCACTGAAATATGCAGCTTTCTCCGCCTCCTCCACAACTGGCACACTTGGCAGTTTTAACACCTCTGTCTTTTGGCATCACGGCCTTGTCCTGTAACTTCCCGGAGTGGCGATGTCACACAGACGTCTTGGTGCTGTCACTGCTCCCCTCGGCACCTTTGGGAGAAGACAGGTTCAAGCATGGTCCCTGGTCCCCACCTGCTCCTCACCCGGGGAGCAAGTCCCACCCGGGCCGGCAGAGCTGCGGGTGGTTTATTAAGTCAGGATTATACGGGGCTTCCTGCACACGGTCTCATTGCATCCCTGCCTGCTGTGGAGAGATTTACGGGCGTGCCCCGGGGCACAGTGGGAAGATGGAGGCATTTGGGCCACATTGATTGACCCTGGAGAACATGTGCTTGCCTTGTCCACGCTGCACACGGAAGGAGCCAGGGCCGTGCGTGAGGTGCGATCAGCATAGGTTTTCCATGGAAGGGGGGGTCCCTGAGGCCTCCTTGGGGCTAAAGGACAATCTCTTCTGGAATTAGTGGCACCACAGGCAGCCCACTGGGCTGACAGGTTGCCCTGGATGTTCCCACTTCTCATCCTCCCGGCCATTTCCAGTTCGAAGTGAAATGTAGTTGTCATCCTTCAGCAGGACTAAGTCAATACACAGGGACATGGAGGCCTGCAGAGGAGGTCGGGGCACGCTGTGCCCTGTGCACGGGTGGAGGGCAGGGCGGGCGGACGAACAGTGCCAGGCGCCGAGCCTCTGTGGCCCACCTACAGGCTATCGGTCACTGAGGCCAAAGGTCAGCTTCCGATGCTGACAGTCGCCCATCCTGGGCCCACCGTCACATGTTGAACTCTGATTGTCGTCTGGGCTGTGGCACTGGCTCACTCTTCCTTGGGCCACCGATCCCTTTGTCACCCCAATGGTGACTGGCGCTGGGAAGCCAGCCACGGCCTGTTGGGGGGAAATGTGTCTGTATACTGTTGTGTGTGTGTGTGTGTGTGTGTGTGTGTGTGTGTGTGTGAGAGAGAGAGAGAGAGAGAGAGAGAGAGAGAGAGAGAGAGAGAGAAAGGAGAGGGAGAGAGGGCAGGAATCCAGAGAAGAGGAGAAATTAGTGAACAGAAATTAGGGAGGACATGAAAACTTGCAAGTCTAGGTGAATTTTTAAAAATTGTGTTGCCTGCTCTCAGGGTGCCAAGGGCTGGGGTGGCGAGGGGTAAGAGGGGGTGAGGGGTGCGCCAACCCCGCATGGACCCCAGGCGTCATGGAACAACCTTGTGTGTTGCTGTTGTGTTTTCTCTTCCAGTTTCCAAGAAGCTGGCACCGATTCCACCCAAGGTACCCTTCGGCCAGCCAGGCGCTATGTCAGAGCTGCCCACTGGCCAGCCGTCCCCACTCAGCCTGTCACCTACGCCCCCGAGCACCCCGTCACCCTACGGACTCAGTTACCCGCAAGGGTACCCCTTGGCCTCGGGCCAGCTCTCCCCGGCGGCAGTGCCCCCTCTGGCTTCTCCTTCCAGCTTCGCCAGCACTTTAACCAAATCGCGGCCCACCCCGAAGCCCCGGCAGAGACCCACGCTGCCGCCCCCGCAGCCGCCCACGGCGAGCCTCTCCGCCTCCAGCCCGCAGTCCACGGAGCACCCCGTGCTCGACGGCATGGCCCCCGGGGAAAGCATGTCCACAGGTAACCACGCCCAGCTTCCTCCGTTTTCCACGAACTTGAGCACAATGGGCCGAGGGAGGGCTGCTGGTGCCACTGCCTGTCAACAACCCGTTTGCCAGGGGCCGGCTGTGCTGGTCCCAACGTAGCTCCCCAGGGGATCCCCTGAGATGCCCCTGCAGCCGGTGAGAGCAGCTCGGGAGGGACCCAGCTGCCCTGCAGCGGGCCTCTGCAGGGGTCTCCCAGTCCAGTGCCCGCAGCCAGGGCTCTGCGTCGGCCCTAATTTGGGGGCTGAGCACCTGAGCTCCTGGGAAAGCTGGAAGCTGGGGGAGATGGCAGACCCGCTGGCACCTGAGCACAGTGGTGCGGGAGGCGTTCCCCGTGTCTTCAGAAACCCTACGGACCAAAGACATTTCCTTTTTATTAATTGAATAAGCCTAATTAGAAACATGTATTTCTAGCACCATGCATTATAAAGGGGCCAGGTTCAGACAAGACACGTGTCCCCCTGGTTCTCAGAGGAGCTAATTGGACAAGCCCACAATGGCTAAATTTAGTTTTGTTTTGAATTTAAAATCAAAGATGGATCTATTTTCCCCCAGAAAAACGTGTGGCATGAAATCATAAGCACACACGTGTAGCACACACCACTGGTCTGGAAGAAGGACACGTGGAAACATCTCCCAGGATCGAGCACACGAGGTCAGAACTCGGCACGTTTGTGTGGCTGCTGACTAGAGCCAGCCCTGCCCCTCACCAGGCCGAGAGCCCGGCTTCGTTGGCCTGTATCGTCCCAGGTAGCAGAAGGCGGGGCCACTGGGGACGGAACACCCACCCCACACAGGGAGTTCAACACACTACACAAGTGCACATCACGCCCTCACAACACACACCGATGAACACATTGCATGCACACACGCGCCACGCGCACTCAGAGCAGCGCAGCCCTGGGCCTGGCTTCCCGCAGAGATGGGCCTTCCCTTGGCTAGATGGCGGGTTGGCCTCGGCCTCCGCTCCGTGCTGCCTGTGGAAGTCTAGTCCAGCGTGGTATTTGTGATGGGTCTGGAGATTTAAATGTTGTGGGAGCAGCCGTCTGGCGGTTTGGCTTGGTTTGGGCAATGAATCATGTTGAAGGTACAGCTGCTGTCTTCTACCGGAGGCTTGTAAAAAACAAAGGGAATTCTTCCTTGAAAGATGAGTGAGCACCACTCCCCACCGGTGGTTCCTGGTGCGAGATGTGTTCTCAGTGAGCCCTGAGGGGAGGGAGCACAGGCCCACTGCTTTGGGGGTTCAGGGCCACACCCCTGGAGCTCCTGGTCACCCTGAGTTGTCCAGGGGGGCCGCTCCTCCCAACACATCAGCCTGCCAACTTCTGGGGCCACCCAAGGAAGGACCCAGGGTGGTCTGCTCACCTCCTGAGAGGACAGAATGAGAGATTTGGGGGAAAGTGGGCCACAGGAGGCACTGAGGGACAGGACAGGCGGTGCCCACAGCCACGTGGGAAGTGTAAGGACCCCTCCCACTGCACCAGCTTCAGGGCTGCTGCCTCTAGACTGAGCGATGCCCGACCCCGTGCCTTTCTGTTCAGTGTTCTCCGGCTGCATTGTTCTGTCCCGCCTGTACAGGCCGGGGACCGAGGGAGGAGCTGGACTGATGGGGTGTGGCCACCTGGCCGATACTGGGCACAGTGTTGTGTTGCGTTCTTGTTCCGTCCTGTTTATTCCTCTCTCCGATCCTGTCATTGTCCTTGCAGCTGTGTGACATGAGTGCCGCAGTGTTGGATACATGTGAGGGGAGTTCAGGGTAAGCGGCCCCAGCCCTCCGCTCCGCACTGCATGTAGCTGGGCCCTGCATGGCCGCTCCCTCGGTGCCTTCCCCAGTGCAGCAGGAGCTTTCTGGGGTCCCTGGCCATGTTGGGGTCTCTTTCTTGTCCTCAGGAGCTGGGGACAAAGCCAGGCAGAGGCCAAGCTCGTCTGCTCACCTTCTGTCACCAGCCACCTAGTCCAGCACCCCTCCTCTCCCTGAGGTTGAGCTGACGGGGGTCAGGCCGCCCTTCCCAGGACGGACCTGTGGAGACTTCTCTGCCCAGTGTCCGGGGCAGTTCCTCACTACACCGTGGTTTAGGGACCTGTCCACGAAGGGCCCGCTCAGGCCGTGGGCATAGCCCCCGCAGCCTGGACCTGTCTCGGGGAGGGCGCCCTGGGACCTGCACTCTCAGACTGAAGTCCACGCGCCTCCTCCAGGCCGAGGCTGAGGCTGGCGGATCCTGGAGAAGCCATAGCATTAGAGTGCGTCCTGAGCTCATCTCCCCAGCTCGATAAACACTGGGGAACATTTACCCAGGTCTGCCTGGTCTCCTCCTATAAAGAGCAGGTGCTCTAAAGCGAAACCAACGCAAGAACATGAACGAAGCCAGAAGGAACGAGGTGTTTCTACCCCAGTAAGAAGGTGTGGCCAGAGCCAATCCGGGAGCCCTCCAGGGGTGCCCCATGAGAGCTGCCGAGACCAGGCCAGCAGGGCCCACAGGCCTCCTAATAGGAAACCAGCTCCACCAACCCCCAGCACCGTCAGCGAGTCCCCCTCAGGGTCTCCAGGGAACAGCCAGGGTGCGCTGAGCAGCTCACTCGAGCACCAGTCTGGGCCGGGCGCTCTTTGCCTGCTGTCCGGACTGTCACACGACCCCTCACCACCCTGGGCTGTTCCCATTTGACTGCCTGGCACAGGGGAGGTGAGAAACCTGTGCAGGGTCATGTGCCGCCTGGTGGTACAGATGGGTGGGCCCCAAGCCAGCAGCAGCCTCCCACAAGGCACCCAGGGGTGGCCCAGCGGGGGGCAGGCAGGGCTGAGCTCAGCCCTCACCTCTGCCGAGGCCTCCAGTGAGGACAGGCTGCAGTGGCTCCTTGCTGAGTGCTTGGGAGGCGGGAGTGGACCTGGATTCCAGAGCTTCCATGTTTGTACAGTGTCTCTTAGGACCGTGTCCAGATGTCTGTCTGTCTACTTGGTATGGCATTCTTTGGGCTGAATGTTTGTTTTACAAAAAAAATCAAAATAAGAAACCAACAAAACCCCACCTCCCAGTCCCGGCCCAAAGGCTGCTCCCTCCCAGGTAGCTTCCCCGCTGCCCGGGCCCAGGCGGAAGGCAAGGCGAGGTGAGGCAGAGCTGAGCAGCTGGGCGGGTGAGATGGCTGAGGGTGAGGGCCCAGGGCTGTGCCCGGCTACCCGGCCTGGAGCCCTGCAGCCCGGGGTGAGCAGGTGGGGTTCCCAGTGAGCCCTGCAGCCCGGGGTGAGCAGGGGGGGTTCCCAGTGAGCCCTGCAGCCCGGGGTGAGCAGGTGGGGTTCCCAGTGAGCCCTGCAGCCCGGGGTGAGCAGGTGGGGTTCCCAGGGCAGCGCAGCCCGGGGTGAGCAGGTGGGGTTCCCAGGGCAGCGCAGCCCCCGCCCACACGGGGCCCCGCCTATGCAGAGCTGCTGGACCCTCTCAACTCTGCAGCTCACAGGGGCCCAGACCCACAGGCGCTGAGCCCTTCACCTCAGGTCCCTCTTCCCAATCCTCTCTCAGGAACAGACCTTTAGTGCCCCGAGGCAGCTGCACCTCGAGGTGAGCGGCTCCAAGGGCTGAGAGATGGGGTTTTCCTACAGTTGGGGAGCAGTTTGCTGCAACTTCGGCCCAGCTCCTGGGACCCCTCTGCCGGGCCCTTCAGCCATCGAGGTATTCTTACTGTTCACAGCCTTGGGGTGCTTGCACTGTCTCAGGATCCCACACTTGCTGGGAAAACGGGGTTTTTCCACTGCCTCACACCCTGTCCCTGCAGGCGTTAGGAACTAAATGCAACCCCGAAATCCCAGGAGGCTGCCAGTGGGACTGGCCCGGAGGCAGTGTGCGGGAGCAGCGGGAGCTGCTAGCAGTGCTGAGGGCCACCCGGCGGGCAGGTCTGCGCTGGCCCACAGGCTTGCTTGGTAGAAGCGAAGCTGCCCAACCCTAATGCGACGCTGCGATAAAACGCTTCAAGTGGCCCCCTATAGGCTGGCCCTCGGTGGCCCACCCGCTCGCTTCCTAATGCTGACTAGCTGCCTGCCCCTGGCGTCGGGTCTCCTTAGCCACAGCCCCTTTCCACTCACCTCTCTCTGCCAACTTCCAGATCTCGCTCACTTCGACGTCCCCTCCATCCACGTGGAGCTCGGGCCGGCACTCCGCCTGAGTCCCCTGGAGCACAAGCTGCGGCCCTCGGTGACTGAGAAGAGGGACTCGGAGGAGGACTCAGAGAGCACCGCCCTTTGACACGCGTGTACATACGTGGGCCCAGACCAGCATACGGCAGGGCGCCCTGGGCCCAAGTTCCCCGTGGCTCTCGCTGTCACTGCCGCGCATGGCCGGAGCTCTGCAGAGAGCAGTCACCCCTGGCCTGAGTGGCAAACATTGGTGGTGCAGATTTTGTTCGTTCCCCTCGGGTGGTGACGTGGGCCTTTTGTTTGATCTTTGCCTTTGACTTTGTGCCTATTTGACCTACTTTCAGCCTCCATGCCAAGCAGCAGCCCTCTCCACCAAGGGCTCCTGGCAGTCCTCTGCAGGGGGGTGGGGGAGGGCCAGGTGCTGGGTGAGACCTGGGCTGCGCCTGTACTGACAGCACGAGTTCTAGGTGTCAGCTGACGGGTGTCGGCTGGACGGCGAGCAAGCCCTTCACTGACAGGGACCAGACCGGATTCTCGAGTCCTGGGCGCTGACTTGCGCTGCACAGGGAGGCTCCCCTCCTTGGTGGGCTCTAAGTAAACGCTGAACACATTTGTTTTACTTCCCAAGTTTTATTTTCCACACCGTGTTACCGAAAGCTCCTGTTTCTACCTTACCGTTTCACACTTCCAAATTTAAAAATGACCTTGATGTCTAGAGGGCCTAAAGACACCTCCCCATTCCCCCCCAAACATCAAATGATCTCACAGCAATTCTACACCTCCAGCTCTCAGGGGCACCAGCTCACAGGTGCGGGGTCGGGACCAGGATCCTCTCTCCTGGAGGGCACTTGTGAATAGCAATAACTGTTACCCAGAGCCGGAGCATAGCGTGAGACCGGCCTGGGAGACACCAGGCCAGCCCCAACCCCCAGCGTCAGGCTCTCCCCTTCTCACGAGACCCCACCCCCTCTCGGGGACAGGCGGGGGCACTGGGAGCCCACACCCTCTGGGACTGAGAGACATCTGGGTCGTGCATGCACAGCCACACTTTACAATTTTACCCTTTTAAGGCAGATATGACATACCTATACATGATATATTTGTATATATGAAATTTCTCTATATTTGTTTAATTTGAGCCATTCAATCTAAGCCAGTGTACAGGTGTACGATGCGAAGTTTAAGTGCGTATTCCTTCTCCCAGCACAGTGTAAAATAGCCCTCCTCTGACCGTGGGGTTGGCAGACTTGGGATGCTACCAGCTTTGCTCACTTCCTGGCGAGGGCGGTTCGGTACCCAATTTGCAATGGAGCCCGGGGGCTGAAAGCACCTTTAAATACATGTACAAATAGTTGTCAAAAGTAATCTTATTAAAATAGATTTATTATCCCTGAGCATGGCCTCTCGTTGTTTAAGTTACGAAGCGTGTGGGGACACGGGACTCAATGACAGGTGCTGCCAAGGCCTCCGCCTGCCTCCCTCTCATCACTGCAGTTTTTAAAGCATTTCTGTCTTCTCCTCGGTAGGAGAATATACAAATAAATACTGGACTTAGCTTTAAAAACTCTCTGTCTTCAGGCACTAACCTCAGTGCTGTTCAAGCTCATAAGGGGGCAGGGGAGCCAGCCTGACATGCTACTTCGTAATACTCTGAAGGGCAACGAGGGATTCTCATTCTCACTGCGCCAGGGAAAGTCAACTACCGTCTCGCTGCTCCCAGCACTGCGGGAAGCTGTGTTCCAGAGGCACCGCGTGGACCCAGCCGTCCGACTGGTGTATGAAACCAGGCCCCATTGGCAGCCTGCACAGCTGACTCGGCAGAACCCGGCCACTGTGTGCCTCCCGGGACAGGCGTGGTCCTCCCGCCTCAGAGCTGGCCTCCGGGACACGCTGGGGCCTGCGCAGGCGGCACCAGGACCAGGCAAAGCACTTGTTCCGCAGGAATCTTTATTGAGTTCTGGGCTCTGGAAACACTACTCCTTAAGCCTTGAGCCTTGGGCACTAAGACGTCACATCCACAACCCGTGTTCCTTGACAGCCTGTCTCTGGTGTGCGGAGGGCACGGCTTGGCGGGAACAGGCCTGGTATGCGTTCTTCTACGTGACTTAAGTCACTGGCACCGAATTCCGTTTCTTTCCTCGCAGCTTCCTGTCCCCGCTCCGCCAGGACATTCGTGACACGTCCAGCACGCAGTCCTCACCTGGAGCCCAAGCCAAGGCCCAGCTCCCACCGCCGTTCCTGTGTGCCGCCCGTTCCACAGTGCCCTCGGCGCCCACCAGGCAGAGGGCGCACTCGGGACCCTGCGCGGGGTGGGGCTTGAGCCTTCCAAGTTCAGGGCCGCTCCTGGCCTTCATTCTGCCCTGACCTTCCTCTGTGGACTGGCAGGCCCCTCTGTATGGGCCCGTTTCCGCGAGGGCTCACTGTCCTCAGCTCCGCCCGCCTGCGCCTGGGAGAGCAGGGCCGCCCGCACCAGCCGCAGCTCCCTCTTCTCCCGGCGCTCCTCCATCTCCTCGAGGTCGTCAGCAAACAGAGCTTTCAGCGGGGCCATCAGCCTGGGCACCGTGGAGAGGTCTCCGAGCCGCACCTGGAGGGCAGGACGGGGAAGACATGCCTCAGTGAGGAAGGCGCGTGACCATCCAGCAGGCACACATCCCCTCACCAACCCTGCGGCCACAGACCACAGCTGGAAAAAGACGGAAAATGCAGAGGCGGCAGGAGACTAAAGAAAGGGCAGAGACGCCCCACCGCGGCTGAGGGCGGCCAGGTGAAGGGGCTTCAGAAGACTAGGCTGCCAGACTCTGAAAATCAGGCTCCTCAGAAACAAGCCTGGCCCCTGCCCGAGCCAGCCTGGCTCCCCAGTCCCAAGAGGAGAGGCCGTCTCCAGGCTCCGAGGCTGTGGTGATGGTGGGAACAGACGAGCCCCCGAGGCTCTGTCATTTCCAGTCACCAGCGCTAAACGGGCCTGCGGAAGGTCGGGCGGCCTTCAAACCCGGTGCTGGTCCTGAGGGGTGATGGGCAGGTCCTCTCATTGCTGGCCTGACCATCCCTCCCATAGCGTCCATGTGGCGCGGTCTCTCTGCCCGGCCCCACCCGGTGCAGCCCACACCACACGCATACCTTCATGTGGTCAAAGGCAATGCCGACTTTCTCGTTGAAGTCAGGGCTGAAGAGGGGGATCTTGGCGTAGCGCTGGCTGAAGTGGTTCAGCATGATGAACCCAGCGTTCATGCGCATCCCCACGCCGATCGCCTGCGAGGTGGTGCTGCAAACAGAGGGTTGGAGGGTCGCATCCGGCTGAAGCGCCCCCTTGGGCCTGCCCCTGCCCCCCAACCCGCCATATTCCCTGACGTGGCTCACAGGTGATTCCAGCCTGTTTCTAGCTCTTTCTAAAGCTGGGCTGCCTCAGAGCCCTGCCTAGAGCTCTGCAGAGATAAAGCCGAAGGGCCCAAAGCCAACCACCTCCCCATCACAGCCCACAGCCCCTGGTGGGACGCAGGCAGGTCTTTCTCAGCAGGGCTGCCGTGAGGCTGAGCAGTCACAAGGAGGGGAGAGAAGGGGAGGGAGTAGGTGATAGGCCGAAGCGTTCGCAGCTACCTGTGTGTCTTTTCCACAGCTTCCACCTCCAGACCGTCTTCCAGCGTGGCCTCGTGAATCAGGAGGGTGGCATCTTTCCCTAAAGGAAGCATGGGCGTGGGGCGGGGTCCTGTGCTGGACAGGCACTCGGCCCCGGATTCCTGCCCACACTCCATCCCCTGACCCTGTGCCCTGTGTGGATGCTAGGATGATCACCAAGCTGCTAGCTGCCTCTACTCACCCATCTGGACCAGAGCCTCGCAGGGCATGGTGTCCCCTGAGTAGACCAGCTTCCAGCCGGACGTATGGACCAGCGCACAGCCATAAGCATGCTTGCAGTGCCGGACCTGGCAGACCTGAAACTGGAGGGCAGGGCAGGGTATGGCTGCAGCGGTGCCCCCCCATCGCCAGACGCCCCCCGCCTCCTGCGGCCGCCCCGTACCTCCTCCAGATCACAGGCTCTCAGCAGGGAGCCAATCCAGCTCTCAAGTGTGGGGCTGGAGACCTCGGCTCCTTTCTGAAGGCATTTGGCAGGGATCACACTGTGAGAAAGAAAACATTAAATTTAACTTGAATCAAAGTTTAAGAATTTGGGAAGCCCCACAATCATTATAAAGAAACACAATTTAAATCGCAGTGAGACTGAAAAAGGTCGTCAATTAGAACAAACCAAACCCCAGGCCACCTAGAAACCTACCGGGCGAGCTGCCCACAGCGAAGGCATTGCAGGCCCTGCCCAAGCGGCCATGGCTGGGCCCAGGCAGACGGACTCCTTCCCACGAGGTGGGGATAGGGCCAACTCCCACCATGCATCCCCTGGCGGGGCACTCGGGCACGTGGCCCTGCAACTGTTTTATCACGAGGTGTTGGCAAAAGTCAAGAAACTAGAAGGTAGCTGAAATGAGGCTGCGAGGAAACGCAGCCAAGAAGACAGACATCTAAGTGAAGCCAGCTAGTGGTTTTGCCCTGAGTCAAAGCTTTCTCCCTGCTTCTGCCACTGGGCCACATCTGGGGAAGGTTTCGGGGGTATCCTGACCTGCCCCAGGTCAGCCCTGAGCTGGGGTATCCTGACCTGCCCCAGGTCAGCCCTGAGCTATGGAGGGGAGGCGACAGCCTTGGGGCGGGCTGCGGGGAGCTCACCTGACGTGGTGCAGGAGCGGCTGGCACTGGTTGTGGTACTGCTGAAGCCAGGCCCGGAGCTGGGTTGGGGCAACCACCAACAAAGGGTGGAAGGGCTTTCCCAGCGATGCCTGGAACAACAAAGTCAGAGCTGAACCAAAGGCAGGCATCGCAGGAGGCCTAGGTGTAATCCAAGCAAACCCAAAGTGGCAGTAGGTCAAGCGCCGCACTCACCAAAGCGCGTTCTCTCTGCAGCAGGATATTTAACAAGCCCTGGAAGGGGAAAGGAGATGCAAAGATGCAGATGAGACGAGACGCCAGCAACCTCGGCCCGGGTTGGGGTCCTCGCCCTCATCTTGCAGGAGCCCCTCGCCCTCTATTGGCCACCAGCCTCTAACACTGCTGTCGCTGGGAGCCAGCACATGCTGACCCAAGACAGAGCAGTGGCTGGAGACCCAGCTGCCCGAGGAGGCCAAGCCCCACCCCTCTGGCTGCAGTTTCCTCTGCAGGCATGTGGGAAGGCAGACCCCTGCTGTGACATGACAGCAGGCGAACAGACCAGCATCCTTATGGGCAGAATTACTGAGCTGGGTTCTGTGAACGACCGTTACCTCGCAAGAGGCGAAGAGCCAGGGCGGTGGGCAAGTTTGGGATGGAGGAGAGCAAGGCCACAGCTGCCTCAGGTGGGGCTCCGGGGTCCTGCCCAGCACTCACCGTGTGGTGATCCGCGTGCAGGTGGGACACGAACACAGCAGCAAGGTTGCCCAAGACCCTGTCCACGTCGTCGCCATAGTGACGACACAGCTGCCCAAACGTACCTTCCCCACAGTCCAGCAGCAGGGACTTGTCGGAGCTACAGAGAAAAAAGTGAGATGTTCATGGCTGAGGAGAGGCCTCTCACGGCTCAGAGGCCTGTGACCTCAGAGAAGAGCCAAGCAGCGAATGCACTCTATCTCCCATAACCTTGCGTCTGCTTCTCTGAGGACCTTGTACAAACAGGAACGCAACTGTAATGTCCATCCTCCTTATATAGAACTATCCACGGAACCCCAGAGCCCTTTAATGAAGTAGTAAGTGTCCTAGCTGGGTAGCTCAGTGGACTGGAGCGTCGTCCTGTGAATCAAAGGTTGTGGGTTTGATTCCCAGTCCTGGCACAGACCTAGGTTGTGGGTTGAATCCCTAGTTGGGGTGCATACAAGAGGTAACCAATCAATGTTTCTCTCTCACATCGCCGTTTCTCTCTTTCTCTAAAATCAATAAACATATCCTTGGGTGAGGATTACTAGTAAAAGAATAAAGAATATAGAAAGTAGGATTAAAAATGGCAGCAGAGTAAGTGGATGCTGCATGGACATGCTCCCAGGAACAAGCTGGAATTACAACTAAAATACAGAAAAACTTCCTGAATAATCATTGGAAAACTCGCAGGAGAGAACCCTGATACCCAAGGACTGAAAGTGGAGACCACATAGAGGCTGGTAGGAGAGGCAGAGGCGTGGAAGGGCTGGCTGCGCGCCCACAGACCACAACTGGAGTCCTGGAGAGATATCTCAGCTGTGGGGGCTGCCACTGAGAACTCAGGGATCTAATCCCTGAGGTGGGCACCCCAGCAGAGAGCACCAGAACTGAGGAGGGTACCCATGTAACATCTAGCTGTGAAAAGCAGTGGGGTGCTGTCTGCCAGAGAGTGGCAGCTGAAACTTCAGGCACCCTCTTAAAGGACCAGCACACAAAATTCCCTATGGAGCCACCCACCTTGTGCTCTGGCAGAGGGAGGGTGAAGTGTACTGGAGCTGTGAGAACAGAATCCAGGACTAGGGACTTGGGGGATAGAGCTCAGAAGGCAGACACCCCAAGTTTCCTGGGCTGAGCCATTCCCTCACACAGCAGAAGACATCTTTCCCACATAGACATCTGCCTGACCATGTTGACACACCCTACTGGAAAACACCTTGCCCTGAGGCCACATAAGAGATTAAAAGTAACAATTTGCCTCCAGGCAGAAGCAACTGCCCCACTCTGTTGAAAAAACTCTTGCCACACCTGAAGACGATTGCCTGGGGGCAATTCAAGTCGGAATCCTATCAGTCTGTAGACAGAGGAGGTCTCTGGAGGCTTTGAGTCTTTGCCTGATCAAATTAGTCAGAAACAGCCTTTAACACTGTCCTGCACTAGAGATTAAGAAGTGTAGAGGATGTACCTAAAACATAGTCACAAACCCAAACAGACAACCAAAATGAGGAAACAAAGAAACAACCCCCAAATGAAAGAACTAGAGAATTCTCCAGAAAAAGAGATAAGTAAAGCAGACATAAGAAATTTATCTAAAATAGAGTTCAGCCGAAACCGGTTTGGCTCAGTGGATGGAGCATCGGCCTGAGGACTGAAGGGTCCCGGGTTCGATTCCGGTCAAGGGCATGTACCTTGGTTGCGGGCATATCCCCAGTGGGAGATGTGCAGGAGGCAGCTGATCGATGTTTCTCTCTCATCGATGTTTCTAACTCTATTTCTCTCCCTTCCTCTCTGTAAGAAATCAATAAAATATATTAAAAAATAAATAAAAATAAAAATAAAATAAAATAGAGTTCAGAGTAAAGATGGTAAAGATGCTCAATAGCATGAAAAAAGATATAGTAACTATGGAAAAAAAAACAGTCTGAAATAAAGAATGACATAACACAAATAAAGAACACATTAGAAGGAATACACAGCAGATTAGGGGAAGCTGAGGATCAAATCAGTGAATTAGAAGACAGAGTTGAAAATATCACTCAATTAGAGAACCAAAAAGAAAAAAACAATTAAAAATCAGGACAGCTTAAGGGAGCTGGGGAACAACATGAAATGTAACAATATTAGAATAGCAGGTGTGCCAGAAGAGGCAGAAAGGGAGAAAGGAATAGAGAAGGTGTTTGAAGAAATAATGGCAGAAAACTTCCCTAACCTGGTAAAGGAAAAGTCACACAAGTCCAAGAGGCACAGAGAACCCCCAGCAAGAAGAACCCGAACAGGCCTATGCCCAGACACATCATAATTAAAATGCAAAAAATTAAAGACAAAGAATCTTAAAGGCAGCAAGAGAAAAGAAACTGTTATCTACAAAGGAGTTCCCATAAGGCTGACACCTGATTTCTCATCAGAAATTCTACAGGCCAGAAGGGAATGGCATGAAGTACTCAAGGTAATGGAAAGAAAGGATCTGAAACCAAGATTACTATATCTACCAAGGCTATCATTCAAAATAGTCAAATAAAGAGCTTCCCAGACAAAAGAAGGCTAAAGGAGTACATCATCACCAAGTCAGCATTACAAGAAATGGTAAAGAGACTGCTGTAATGAGAAGAAACAGAAAAACCTAAGTATACAGAATTAAAATGGCTATAAATAAGTATCTATCAATAATAACCCTAACCGTAGGATTAAATGCTCCAATCAAAAGGCATAGGGTAGCTGAATGGATAAAAAATCATGACCCAACTATGTGCTGTCTACAAGAGACCCACCTTAGAACAAAAAGACACACAGAGGATGAGAGTGAAGGGATAGAAAAATAATTTCCATGCAAATGGAAAAGAAAAAAAAGCTGGAGTAGCAATACTCATATCTGATGAAATAGACTTTAAAATGAAGGCCATAACAAGAGACAACAAAGATCACTACATAATACTAAAGGGAATGATCCAACAAGAGGATATAACCCTGGTAAACATATATGCACCCAATATAGGAGCACCTAAATATATTAAAATACTTCTAGAGGACTTTAAGGGAGAGATCGACAACAACAGCATATTTCACAGACCTAGAACAAACTCTCCAAAAATTCATCTGGAATAAAAAAAGACCCCGAATAGCCACAGCAGTCCTGAGAGAGAAGAAAGCTGGAGGGATCACAATACCAGATATCAAGCTGCATTACAAAGCCACTGTTCTCAAAACTGCCTGATACTGCCATAAGAACAGACATATAGACCAATGGAACAGAACAGAGAACCCAGAAATTGACACACGCCATTATGCTCAATTAATATTTGACAAAGGAGGCAAGAGCATACAATGGAGTCAAGACAGTCTCTTCAATAAATGGTGTTGGGAAAATTAGATAGATACATGCAAAAAAATGAAACTAGACCACCAACTTACACCATACATACAAATAAACTCAAAACGGATAAAGGACTTAAATGTAAGACGGGAAACTATAAAAATCTTAGAAGAATCCATAGGCAGCAAAATAGCAGACATATGTTGTAGCAATATCTTTACCAATACAGCTCCTAGGACAATGGAAACTAAGAAGAAAATAAACAAATATGACAACATCAAAATAAAAAGCTTCTGCACAGCCAAAGAAACCATCAACAAAACAAGAAAGCCCACTGTATGGGAGAACATATTTGCCAATGTTATCTCTGATAAGGGTTTAATCTCCAAAATTTACAGGGAACTCATACAACCTATAAAAGGAAGATAAACAATCCAATCAAAAAATGGGCAAAGGACTTAAATCAGTGGTTCTCAACCTTCCTAATGCCGCGACCCTTTAATACAGTTCTTCATGTTGTGGTGACCCCCAACCATAAAATTATTTTCCTTGCTACTTCATAACTGTAATTTTGCTACTGCTATGAATCATAATGTAAATATCTGACATACAGGATGTATTTTCATTGTTACAAATTGAACATAATAAAAGCATAGTGATTAATCACAAAAACAATATGTAGTTATATATGTGTTTTCCAATGGTCTTAGGCGACCCCTGTGAAAGGGTCGTTCGACCCCCAAAGGGGTCTCGACCCACAGGTTGAGAATCACTAACTTAAATAGACACACTTTGAAAGAGGACTTACAGCCCTGACCGGATTGGCTCAGTGGATAGAGCGTCATTGGCCTGCAGACTGAAGGGTCCCAGGTTCGATTCCGGTCAAGGGCATGTACCTTGGTTGTGGGCACATCCCCAGTAAGGAGTGTGCAGGAAGCAGCTGAATCAATGTTTCTCTCTATCCCTCTTCTCCCTTCCTCTCTGTAAAAAATCAATAATTTTTTTTTTAAAAAAAAGAGGACTTACAGAATGCCAAGAGACATATAAAAACATGCTCGGTACCATCTCACACCTATCAGAATGGCTATCATCAACAAATCAACAAAGGACAAGTGCTGGCAAAGATGTGGAGAAAAAGGAACCCTCTTGCACTGCTGGTGGGAATGCAGACTGGTGCAGCCACTGCAGAAAACAGCATGGAGTTACCTCAAAAAAATTAAAATGAAACTGCCATTTGACCCAATGATCCCACTTCTAGGAATATATTCCAAGAAAACAGGAACACCAATCAGAAAGGATATATGCACCCCTATGTTCATAGCAGCACAATTTACAATAGCTAAGATTTGGAAACAGCTTAAGCGCCCATCAGCAGATGAGTGGATTAAAAACCTGTAGTACATCTATATAATGGAATGCTACACTACTGTGAAAAAGAAGGAACTCTTACCATTTGCAACAGCATGAATGGAACTGGAGAGCATTATGCTAAGTGAAATAAGCCAGTCAGAGAAAATAAATAGCACATGATCTCACTCATTTGTGGAATATAATGAACAACATAAACTGATGAACGAAAATAGAGCCAGAAAAAAATTTTTTTAGAAGTAATCCTGTTATTTGCAGATTTCTAATATTTCCTACAACTTTTGTGATATTATACTATGTTAGTATAGTTTTGGTAATATATTTAAAATCTTTTTTTATTGAAATACTAGAGGCCCACTGCATGAAGATTCGTGCACTGGGGGTGGGGGGGGGGGGGTGGTCCTTCAGCCTGGGCTGCGCCTTCTAGCAGTCCTGGAGCCCTTAGATGTTTTGGACTGACAGC